TATCCCAGGCCATCCCACTATTTGCCTCCTGGGGGGACCCCCTGAGCTATAGCTTGCTCCTTAAAATGCCTTTGTGTGTATTGTGTTGTCAGATAAACCTTTTGCAAGTTAAATGTCCCTTTACCTGATGAGATCTAGAGGTGGAAGTGTTTTTCTTCACTTTCCCTGAACAGCAATGAACATGATTGTTAAGAATTTTGAATCTTCGTGATGTAGCATGAGGATTTTAAATAGTTTTAATTTTAAGCTAGCACTAATATGACTCCCATCCTCTTTTCTTGTTCAGTGTATAAACTTTTCATGGAGTAGAGAGCCATGTGATCAATATTTCAGAAATACAAAAATTCATAGTATGTCTCCACTCTGAGAATTCCCCCCACACTCCACTTCTCTCCTCCCTTTTCTCCTCTCTCCTTCCCTCCCTCCCTCCCTCTTTTCCTTTTTTCCAAGAACTTCTGTTGTTCTCTCCTGAATTGCATGCCATTTTCCCTCTCTCTCTGCACATGGATGAACAATGAGAAAGAGGAGTTTTCCTTTTTTGGGGGGAGGGGGGCTGTGTAATCACTCTAATCATTTGCCTAAAAGTGATTTCACCATTAACTTTTCTTCTCTTCTCCCCATAGAAGTAGAAATATATTTTACAAAACGATGTTTAGTTTAATTTACACATCCTTTCATGAACAGACCAAGTTCTTTAAGGGCATTTATTCTGCTTCATATAAATAATTGATCAGCCAAGTTAATTTACTTCTGCCTGACTTGGTCAACCTTAATTAACTGCCCTGGAATCAAGACTGAACTTTTTGTTAGCTTAAAATCTTTCACAAGCATGATAGCAAGGGTTTTATTTTCCCTAAATTTTCAGCATCAACACTGTAACCAAGGAAATAATCATAATAATAAAGCATTGCTTTAATTTACTATAAATACATTGGCCTGGACATTATGAATTTTCCAGAATACTTCCAGAGAGCAGCTCTGTTGGCATCGACAATAAATAAGCATGCTAAACGCAGTCCTTATCCTTTTCTACAAGTCCCTCTAGCACAAAAATCAATCTTTTGAAATCAGTAGCTCAGTAATGTTTCCAAGCAAGATGAAAAGTAGGCCATTTTGACTTTCTTTAGCTTTCTGACACCCACAAGATTGTGGCAACAGTCTTTGTAGGGTTGTATTGAGTGGATCATATGTGATTTAAACAGGCCTGGTCACTGGGAGGAGAGAGAAAGAGGGAAGTTTGGCTTTGTTTCTGGAAAAGGGACTTGTTCCTGGTCACGGGGTGAGCTGCCCTCTAGGTGCCACGCCTTCACATTGAGGCTCTTGGAATGATTGTGCATCCTTTCTCATTCTCAATTTTTCTTGAAGCAAAGCACTTCATTGGTTATAGGGACTCCTGGGGGTAAAGCAGAGGTTATACAAACTGAGTGCCAAAGACAAGGTCCCCATAAGAAAAGAGGGTTTGGCGTTGTATGTTAAAGAATGCAGAGGGCTCTTGAATATAGTAACTTGCTTTTGTTTCAGGTGGCACTAAAATTATAAATCTCAATAGAAAATGACAAATACAGTTGCTTGTCTAAGAATGCTAGCACTTTACATGTTAGATGCTTTTCTTTGTCCACTGACCACCCTCCTTAGTATCTTTTCTAGAACTTAGTTTTCATTGTCTTACTAATTCTCCACCTAGGCTAGGGTTTTGCAAATTGAATATCCTCTGTCATTTATTGAATGGACAATTTCACTTCTGAAATGGAGAATGATGGCTGCATCTATCTATCAGCCTGCTGAGCTCTAGTTTTCTTATCTGTAAAGTGGGGATGATATTACTTGCCCTTTTTTCTCCCTCATGGGTTTGTTATAAGTTTGAAAAGTACATCACAGGGCTTTGCAGTTTGTTAAGTGTGATACAGATATAAAGGCTTCTTAAATGGCTTAGAACATAGAAAGAGAATTTGCCAGCCCAGATATTGTTAGAAATGTTCTTAGACATCGACACTCCAAATTTTTCACATGTGCTTTTCAAAAAGCTGTTTTCTCCTGATTGGTGTGGGAGATTATGGGAAATTTTAAATCTTCCAACCTACATACTACTGTTAGCACTTGACTAATTAAGGACATCCTCAGACCAAAATAATCCTTTATGCAATTTTGGTCACAAAGCCTGTACTCTCACAAACCTGATTCGTAAGCCAAGCTGTTTGGCTTGATGCCTGCAGAAGTTGTACTGGAGGACTTGGCAGGCCGCTTTGCAACTGTGTGCAGCAAAACCTCATCAAATTGTGGACTGAAGATGGTTCTTTTTCCACCCGCCAGGATGGTGTTAACCCAGGAAAATGGAAGCAGGGTCAGTCTCCTAGACACTGTTTTCACGTTTGGGACCTCAGGGATCACATGATTTGAACACAGCATTATTATATCTGTAGCTCTGCTCTGGGAGAACAGGTTATCTGGCTAAATCTGCCCCATTTTAAGGGCAGGTATAGAATTTATCTATTGGCAGTGTTTTTGAGAGTCTGGTCAGTCTGCCATGGACAGGCTTTTCAGAAGATTTAAAAAAAAAGTTATTTTTGCTTTTTCCTTAGGTATGCTTGTAACATACTCTAATAATTAAGTTGATTTCCCAGCTAACTACTCTAAGACAACCATTGTCTTCTTGAAATACCTAAATACTGTCTTTTCCTTAGCATCTACATAAAAGAAAGTGAAACATTGTGGGGGAAATACCTAGGTTTTCACAAATTGATTTTTCCCCCCTTTGGTAATGAACAAGGTACTTGCATTACCTGCTTTTTAGAGAAAGGTTTAGTTGTTTATTTTTGATAGACTTTTCTGCTCTGCAAGGCTATGAAACAATTTTTAATTTTATTTTTTTAAATTTTCTTAAAGATTTACTTATTTATGCATATAAGAACTGGGATACAGGCCAGAGGTGTGGGGGTGGGGGTGGTAAAAGGATTCACCAGAGACAGAGTGGGGAGCAGAACAGGCAGATCGACCAAAATACACTGCTGAGGGGAGCAGCGGGCAAGACAGGAGAGGTCTGCTGTGGCATGTGGGTAGCTCCCTGGCCAGGGATCGAAGTTGTGCGACAGTAGCTGTGGATAGCTTCATAGTGCTGCGACTTAACCCTTTGTGCCACCAGTGAGGCCCAAAACAATTTTTAAAGGAATATAATTATCAGAACGTCTGATTGAAGACACAAGAGTGAATCAGCTGTTGCTTCTGATTTGGTTTCCCACCTGTTAAGAAAAAAATGCCATTCTTAATCCACTTCAGAACTGGATTAACTTTAAAATAAATATGTTTTCTGGTTTTATGTCTTTGTGTTCAAGTTGGATCATAAAAAGAATCAAGAAAAATGAGAATTTCTCTGCTCTTAACACTTCTATTTGATATTTGTGCAAGCCTATAGAAAAGATACTCAGCTAATTCTATAAGAGGGCAATCTCCTGTAAGGATGTCCAGAATGTTTAAATTTTCCTATTGTCACATATTTCACTGGTGAGGGAGACATCTGTATTACTGGTTGTCCATACATCTTTCCATGATTCAAATAAATTTGTGTTAAGGGTTTTCTGCTCTTTTATCTGGGATTGGTATTTCATGTTAAAGTATTAATTATTCAGGAATTTGTCAGCTTTGATGTTGGAATTGGCAACATCCTTTGGTTACTGTTGGTTTTTTATTTTTCAAAGACCAAGTCCGTGAACTTGGACTATGACCCTGCCATTTTTGTCACTTGGGCCTCACTGTACCTCAACTTTAAGAAAACATGTGGTTAAGAACTTGGACATCAGATCGAACTTGTTCACATCCTGTGTCAACCATGCCACGATGATATATGTTAGGCACATTAAGACAATAGCTATTAAAATAACCTCCATGCTGCTAAGTTATTTTCATCTGCATACTGGGGATGGCAGTTGTCATCAAAACTAAATTGGGGATTATTTATAAATTACCTGCAGTAGATCGGGCCTGAGTTAGGTATGTGGTAATCACTGATATTAGCGACTCTCATCAGGCTTGTCAATGGGAAAATAAAAGCTGGATTGGTTTCTTGGGATAATGGTTTTGCACTGGACAGTCACAAGGACAATGTGAAATGTGTTTACAGGTAGCCAATGGTCTCTAGCTACTCCTTGTACACTAAATATTTGTTGTTGTTGTTGTTAGATGTTTAGTACTTCTAACATAAGACCTTTTTGTAGCTACACCTAGGCAAGATTTTCTCCAGAATAAGTTTTAGAATGCCCAGATCTTCCAGGCCTTAAATTAAACCAGAAGGCAGTAATCAATCATGAGAGAATCCAACATGAGAAATGCCTAATTTTGAATGGGGTGTCTCCAGTAGTTTTAACCATAGACAAAGATTAGATTCTGAATTTATTTAGTTTCTGAAAAACAGGGCTTCCCCACCCCCCTTCTATGAAAGTGACCTATCCTAATGGAATGGCCAATTTTTGAAAAGTTAAAGTACCTGAATGATTCCAAGGTGTGTAAATCTTTAAAATGTTTCTGGCCTTTGACTGTCAGGCTTTATCGGAGGAATTACTCTAGAGGGCTTTCCTGGCTATGGGTGTCACCCCTGATAGGTTGAAGTTAGAGAATATTTCTCCAGAAGTGGGCCATCACCAAATAGAATCCACATGCTCTAGAATTTAATGTTATACCCAATGTGCTATATAGAATGACTTACTGGTTTTCATGTAAAACATCCATATATAATCGTAGAAATTTAATCACAAGTTCTAGGTTCCCCTGTAAATATTTTTCCTGGGGGAAAATCATGTGAAACAGTACTAGTGAGACTTGAATTTTAACCCACAGTTCAAAATCTAAGGGCCTGGATCACTAATGAGGGATAAACTGAGTGAAAGAGAATAACAACTGTTTAGATTTTGGCCACATTTAAAGCAGGGTCGGCCTTCTTATGTACAACAACTGTTTAAGCAGCTGCTTTATTCTTTCTCCCCTACTCCTTCCTGAAAATCCTCTCTCAGGTCTTTGAGTCATGATGCAAGAGTCTGGGACTGAGACAAAAAGTAATGGTTCAGCCATCCAGAATGGGTCGAGCAGCGGCAACCACTTACTAGAGTGCAGCGGTCTTCGGGAAGGGCGCTCCAACGGGGAGACGCCAGCTGTGGACGTGGGGGTGGCCGAGCTCGCACACGTGCAGCAGCAGCAACAGCAGCAGCAGCAGCAGCAGCAGCAGCAGCAGCAGCAGCAGGTACTGTTCTCCCGCGTGAGCCAAGCTGGAGGGTGGCGGATGCGGATTCCCTGCTTTGTTTTACACTTGCCCTCCACAAATGTTCTCTGTTCACCTGTATCTGGCTGTAAGCAGCATCTTTTGAGTCCACTGCAGGATGTTTGCGTGGCTGCTTAAAGACACTCATCTCAAGCCCTTGGGAATTCCAAATCTTGGAAAACCCCTTTTGGGGAGCTGTTGTTGGGAATGACATTGAGTGGATTTCTGACCACTCCCTCTCAGCTGCCGGTGGGACAGACTGAAACTCTAGTTGTCTTAAAAGTAACCTTTGGAAATAACCTTTCCCTATGCTTTAATTTAAAAAACAACCAAACAAAGAACAGATTTACTAAGTGTTAAGAATGAGGAAACAAAATAAGGGATAAGGGATTAAAGAAAAATAAGGGATATGAGAGAGAAAAGAGTAGACCAACAAGGAAAGTAGAAAGACATAAATGCAGTCAGAGTTGGGTATCAAGCAAAACATCAACAGCACAGACATCAGTGGAAGAATTGCTTCCTGCTACCTGAATTTAGGGAAGTGGGTCATGCGGTGTTTCTTGTATACATATGAATGTTGGTACCTGGCTAAGTTTTATTAATGTTTTCTTTTTTAAAGATTTATTTTATTTATACAAGAGCTGAGGTATAGGCCAGAGGTGAGTGGATTCACCAGAGACAGAGCAGGGAGCAGAACAGACAGAAGGACCGAAAGCACTGCTGAGGGGAGCAGCGGGAGAGACAGGAGAGGTCTGCCGTGCCATGTGGGTATCTTCAGGGCCGGCTGGGAATCGAACCCACACTGCAGAGTCTGTGGGCAGCTTCACAGCGCTGTACTCTACCTGCTGCGCCACCGGGGAGGTCCTCTTTTCTTTAAAAAAGATTTATTTATATAAGCACTGAGTAAAATCAGAAGTGTGGGAGGGTGAGAGAATTCACCAGAGCCAGAGCGGGGAGCAGAACAGGCAGACTGATGAAGTACACTGCTGAGGGGAGCAGTGGGCATGGCAGGAGAGGTCTGCGCACCATGTGGGACCCTCGCCTTGCCGGTGGCCAGGGATCGAACCAGCACTGCAGAGGCTGTGGGCAGCTTCACAGCCCAGTGCTCAACCGCTGTGCCACCCGGGAGGCCCGAGGCCCTCTATTAATGTTTTAAATGCCCTCTTATTGGTGGCTCCCCAATATGCATATAAAGGTGGGATGTCCCCTTCCCTCCTACATTCTAAGTATGTGAGTACATGTGAGTGATTGGTAAAAAGATTTCCAAATGCTAAAGATGATTCCAGTTGTTGATGAAAATTTAAATGAATAGCATTTCCTGAAAGACATTATTTTTGCAATCATAAAGTTTTTATTAGCTTTTGTTAATGATAATGGATAGGTTTTGCTTCATGGTAGTTTTCACTATATTTGTTCAATACCTAATTATGGTGCCATTTGGAAAAAGGTGAAAAAAGATGGCTCTTTAGACCTTTCTGAATGATACAGATAGGTTGGGGGCTGAGGGATGAAAAAGGCAAACCTTTTCTCACACCATTTTCTTGAAATCTGATTCAGAGAAACAAAGGGAATCCCTTCTTATGTTAGGGATATACCTTTTGAAGGGGCTAAAGCATGTTTTCTTCTTGTTAAGAATTTTTTTAAATGAAAAGGGTCATTAGATATTTAATTTGTTAGAAGTTGGTAGACCCAGTTTGAGACTGTGGAACCTGTTGGGGGAAAGATACAAAAGAATGAAAAGGAAAATAACTGTAAGACCAGCCAAGGTCTTAATTCTTAAGTGATTTGACCCATTTTTGTTGGCAGCTCAAACCTGTTTGTGCCTATACCTTGGGTATCTTGTCACTGGAATTTACTATGTAAATTATATATAAAGTCTGTGCATTTAATTAGTGCGAATGGCCCAATTCTAACCAGTGAGATTGCTAGTGAAGATGCTAGAAGGGTATTCACGTATTTGTGCTAACATATGTTTATATGCTAACATATGTTCATGTGGTGTTTTCAGATATTTATGGTTATATGGAGAATAAATAGTTCGTATTTTGGACTGCCATTTTCTATGCCCCTACTATATAGAGGTCAAGGCCGATTATTTCCTTAATGAATAGTTGAGGTGGTACCATTAACATATGTGGTATGAACCCCAAGTAATTATTAGTATTTAGAGTACACTGACTAAATGGGAAATTGACTTCTTCTGAATTTTATTTGAAGAACTGAAAATGATTGACTATCTCAAGTAGTAAACCCATCAAAAACTTTATATATGTATATATATAACATCAATACACATAGATACACTCACCTCTAACTCCAAGAATAGCAACAGCAATGGCTGCACAGAAAAAAGTTATAAACATGCATTTTAAACATCTTTAAAAACAAAATGAGTTATTTACTTCTTTCCCCTCTACTGTTACCACTTTGGAAAACTTGTTGTTATGGGCTATTGATATATTGATATATTGATACAACCTTTTGGTTGTATTTTGCAACTCACTTTTAATATTGTTTTTAACAATTTTCTTTCTATTTGCCTTTAATATATTTTGGAAAGAAAGAAAGCAGTTGGTCTATGGTTGTGGCTAAAATCCCACTTATTGTGGTTGGCAGGCCTCTTAGGTCTTTTAAAATAAAATACCGACAGCTGTTTGACTCCCCTAAGTGTATGATGATGCTCTCAACAGGTTGTTGGGGGAAAAGGAAATCTGTAGATGAAATAAGAAAAAGCTGCAGGCTTGTAAAAGTTTCACAGCACTAGAGTTTTAGTCCAGACTGAAAAAATACAACAACTAAACAGTTTGGAGAAATCAGAGTCAACAGGATGGTCTTGGGTGTTTTCGTCATTTTTATTCTACAGGTTTTTACTTGAAGTGAGAATACCAGCAGTGAGAAAATCACAGCCATGCTGAATTCATTACTGCGGTAGTCACACAAAACCACGGATAAAATTTCAATAACTGCAGGCCACAGTTGAGTAAACAGTTGCACTGAAATTTAATTCCTGTTGACTTTTCCCCCATTCCTCGCCAGGGGCACATTCTGATTCTGTAGTACAAAGACAACAGGGGTTACAGCTTTGATTAATGTAGGATAGTAGAAGAGAATTAGAACTGTAAAATATGTTAGAAGTCCATGGAACAAAAAGATTTGGCTTAAAAGGGCTTGGTACAAAAATGAGTTAATTATACTGAATGTTATAGAACTTTCCAGTTGCACCACTATAATCATCGATGACACAGGGAGAACTTTTACCTAGCATCAGGATTTAAAATAAATAAATGCAAATCTGTCCATGTTTGATCCATATTACCAGTGATAATTACAAATGTTAGCAAATTCCCTTTCAGAATGACAAGTCCTCACAAACATTTACAGTAGTGTGTGACTTCTGTGCTGGGTTTGGTCAACGGAATGGACAAATTGGATCCAAACAGAATTGTTGAAAAAATTACTTAGTTGAAACAGCCTAGAAAGATGGGGGAATCTTGCCTTTTCATTTTTCTTGGAAAAAACAGAAGATCTGGTAACCCTGGGCCGATAATCCTGCAAAGGTACTGATTGATGTGTGATGAATTACTGCTTAATTCAAGGAGTCTGTAGCCCTCCAGTCTCCTCTAGCTCCCACCCAGCAGTGTAGCTCACTTGAGCCCTTTGGGCAGTGGAGTTGGCGATTCTGGTCTGGAAAGTGCCATCATCACTCAGAAGCCATCAGCCAAGGGAGAGGTGCTGCCATTAGCTGGAGGATTCCGCCAACACACTCACAAACCGTCTTCCTTCTTCAAAACTAAATGTATTATCTTTGTAATGTTTCAACTCTACTTATATCTGGGCCATGAAACTATTATAACAATAGTTTCCTAATGATATAATTTGATAGAGTTTCCGAACATTTTCTTTTAGCCTTTGAGTAATTCTCTATCCGATACCATAACCGCTTTTTAGTTCCTATTATGCCTGTCCCATTTCAAGGTCTGTAAAAGTTCTGTATTGGATATGCACTACTCCATTATAAAGCTCAGCAACAAATACTATTACCAATTACTAAAGTTTTTTTTTCCTTAAAGAAAAGATTTTAAAATGTCCAGAACAATTTCATAAATTGTGTGGATTAATGTGTTTTAAAAGTCTTGAATTTTAGAAAGCAGAATTTTATTTCCATATTGCTGCAAATGAGAGCTTTTTCAGATAAGCATATTACATAGAGCATAATGTTTAGAAGTTTCTCCATATACAGCATATGCTGTCAGGTCAATTAACAGAATGCATACTAGAAAATGTTTATTCAATAAAAATGAATAGCTGTTAAATAAAACAGCTATTTCTTAACAACATTCCATTTAGTGATGGAAGTTTTTTTTTTTTTCTTTTTTGGTACCACCTGGCAGTTTTATTGTCTGAAAATCACTATAGGGAGAGCTTGGGTTGCTGTGGTTTTGAGGTGTGGCTATTGTTTTATATGAGGGGGGCAGTTCAGAGATAGTCTATGAGAAAGGTGTGCAAAAAAAAAAGATCAGCTATGTATGGAATCTGAACATGTATTATTTAGACAATATGGATGAGCAGAGTATTTACTTCATATAACTTCTTTGACTTTTGGTTTAAGTGGTTGGACTATTTGGTCCAAAAGCTAGTGGTTTATGTTTCACATTAATAATGTAAAACATTGTTAATAGAAGAGAGAAAGAACTGATTAACTATTGAGGTAAGAGATGTGGAAAGGATAGGAAATCTCCGAAAAAATAATGCAAGGGAAGAAGAAAGTTTCATTGAGTTGAAATTTGCCAGTGATCATCAAAGGAGTTAAAAGATTAGTCATTACACTGGAGCAAATAAATAAGTTCAGACAAATAGGGTGAGCCTCATAGAACTTGGGGAAAGAATCAGGTTATGTCCATTATGAGGGGGTGGAGAAAATGCAGTATCAGGGCAGCCTGGGCAAATCATGAGTATGTATCCCAGGGTCCTCTGAAGATGAGAGAGAATTATCACCACCAACAGGTCAACATTTTAGCATAAATCACCAAGAATAGAAATTCTTCTCTTCATTTTCAAAATGGCAAAATGATTCCTTCATTAAGTTTATTACTGAAATTACCAGTGACTATTGGGCAGAAGAGGAGACTGTTGTGCCAGCATTTCCAAAATTAATGGCTTCTGTGAACAGCATGCCTTGAAGAAGTAACTGTGGGTGTTTGGACAGACCATAAATTCCTGTGAAAGGACCCATCCTTTTACTTGTCCTTCTTACCCGTACTTCTTTGGGGCCCACACAAATATTCTAGTGACCATCCTTTGCCTTTTTTCTCATTCCTCCCTATCATTCTTTTCCTCATTGAAAAAGGTCACTTACAAACTTTGTTAAAATGTACTCAAAATGTCCTTTCCCATTGAAGCTGCCAGGGACTACAGTGGGAGGGCCTTTGATGCCATTGGAAGGGGAAAAATGGTCAGCATCTTTGTTGTCCTCAAAGGGAAGATTCCAGAAGGGGGTTCAGGAGAAGATTTTATTATTTATTGCCTGTGGTCAAACACTGTGATAGGGACTCACACCTTCCTTTATTGGTGGGTACAAAACCAAGCTGTAATTTTACAGGCATCTCCTTGTCAAAATACACTTTTTTTGTGTGACAATGGAAAGTTCAAATATTAAAGGAAATCACAAGGGTCCAAAGTATTTTGTAGGAATCAGTGCCACCAAAATGTTAGCGAAGACTCTACAAATAAATTGAAACAGAGACAAGGAGCTAGATAATTCTGACAAATAAAGAAAAAGCAGCCACAACAATAACAAACTCCTACTTTTTCTTAATTCATTCTGTGGCTATTTCTGGAAAAGGCATATTTCACCGTGAAAGCTAAATTTAGTTCTCTCCTCTGTTAGTTTAGACCTGCCTTCCATCAAAATATTGTTGTCAAAGATTTATGTAACTCGTGATGTGAGCCTTGTATAAAATCCTTTCAAGTTTTGATTACTAAACAGTTGTGTGTCATTAATCTCTCCATTGAAAATTAAGATGGCAGGGGAAACAAAAAAGAAAAGAGACCGTGCTCATAGGAGAGCCTGGTAACAGAAACCCAGATGCCACGTTTCATTATGAGTAAAGTGTCCCCTCTTGAATTTAACTGAAAGTGTCACTGCTCTGAGAAGGTAATTTTAAGCCCTGACTCCTGAATAATAATAATAATAATAATAATAATAATAATACTTATCTCTTGTCTAATCAAATATCTTTTTTTGAACTTTTAAGAGGTATGACTTTAATGATAATTTGTTGACAGATTAGCTTCATGATTTCAAAGAGTTTGTTCTGCAAAACTGGCAGGCTCTGATCTGTTCTCCAGAAGCAAGGAACCTACTTTGCTATTTTGCAACTGCTTGCCTTTATTGACAACTAGTGCTGAGCAGGCAGAATTGGTATGTTTGTGTAATGTAAACCTATAGCTCGCCTGATGGAGTCTAGTGTACTTTTAGGTAGTGCATAGATTACTTGATAAAAAGGGCTACAGGGTGACTGCTTTTATGACAACGTAGAATGGCAATATAAATGCAAGTGGTGGATGGAGCAACCAGAAGGAGGTTTGAATTGAGCCCTACATTAGAAAGTTTCTTTTCATCACTTGGTCTTTGAACTCAAATCTGTTGTAATTATGAAGTGTTACTTATAACATTCCAGAGACACTTTGCTAAAAGGGTGTTTGATTTGGTTCATAGAAATACAACCATATTCCCTGCCCCCCCCCCATAAGAAAAGGTGGTGAAGAGAGGATCATGTTGGCCTCATCTCAGTTTCATTCCAAGTGACAAGTATTAACACTGTTTCCTAATTTGAGATTTCATGAAATTCATTTTTCATATTTCTCACTCAACTTATATTTATTGTACATGCCTATGTGCCAGGTACATGGGGATAAAACACGATGGGCAAGGTACAGGGGAAGCACAGGGGTAAGGGGGATAACTTGAAGCTTCTTTGGCTAGTGCCTGCAGGGTAACTGGGAGTGTCGGGGAGGCAGGTAGAAGGTAAATTTGGGTCAGCTTGTGTTTCTAAGCCAGGGGGGCTTTTCAGCAGAGATGGAAGGCCATATGAAAGGAGGTGTGCTGACAGTAAAGTAGAAGGCTGGATATGGTCTGGCTTGCACAAAAGAGCACTGATAGATTAATAGCAGTAACAAGGCTGTTGCACTTTGTCCTGAATTTAGCAATGGGGCACTGGATAACCCTCATTTCATTTAATTGAGGGCAACCTGTAGTTAGCCCCCCTCCTTTGCTCCCTGCATTTCCCCTACATCTGGATCCCTTGGTCAACTATAAGTCTTGTGAGGGCAGGCGTGCATTTTCCTTATTGTCTGATGTCATTCCTGGCACAGAGCACAGTACCTGGCAGACTCTGAATGAATAAATTAGGAAGAGAAAGGAAGGGAAGGATAAAGAGAGGATGTTGACTCAAGCATTAAAAAGTTGACAGGACCTTTTGGATTAGTTGTGAAGACATGGAGGAGTGGGAGTTATAATGGGTGGTTCTAGATTTTTATGGAAATGACTGGCAAAATGGTTACATTGTGAAACAGAGAGAAAAGAGTCAGCTTGTTATAGGGCAGGGAGAGGGGCAGTCCAAACCCTGCAAACCTGCCTATTCTAAATGGGTTCTGCCATCCGCCGCATCAACACAAAACATAGGAGACTTTAATGGGAAGGAACTTTAATAAAACTAGGAAACAATACAGGTAATGCAGAGTCTAGTTTCTAAATGAAGCACCCAAAGTTACCCATCCCCTCGTGGGTAAAAGTCCATCCAAACGGGATTGGCCCAGAGCAAGGCTCCAAAGCCTGCCACAAGTCTAAAGCATCTTCCAGTGGGGACCCACAGAAAAGGGCCAGAAACAACCAGACAAGCCCGAAAGCAAAAGAGCAAAATCAACATCAAGATAAAAGCTGCCATGGTCATCTCTCCACGGGTCTCACCCACATCTGTGTCACCCAGTCCACGACCAAAAGACAAGCACAGTTTCTTCACGTGTCTCTAGGCTCCATGCGCCTCCTCCAGGTCTCCTGGCTACATCCTGCTCCCTTCCTCAGTTTCTTCTGCAGCTTCTTCTCTTCCTGCTCAGCTCCACCCTCCCTTGGGTGGGGCAGGGAACCTCCCCCTTTCCTGGGGACCACCCCTGTTACAAGCTCATTCCTACCTGTCCCTCTTGGGTGATTATGACTTGACAAAGAAAGCACAAGCATCATTTGTAAATAAAAGATGGACTTATTTTGTAAATGTCCCTTTAAAAAGGCTGTTTTTTAAAAAGATACCCTCTTCTATTGCTAAGGCTTCTTATTTTGAATGTATTTATTTATTCAGATTAAAATTATTGAGTATTTTCCCTTCAGTCTTTGCCAGTTACTAATGAGTATATCTTCCAAAAGTCACATGGGAAGGCTGATAAACTGCTGTGCTCCTATCGATCATGGAATGGGCTTATCTCTTTTAGAGAACAAAACTACAAAGTTAGATCTTTGATAAAGTCTTTGTTTCCTATTGACACAAGCTTCTTAGAATTTGTTTTTTAAGGTGAAGGGGGTATATATTGTGTTTCTTTTGTTGGAAAAATACAATGCGAAATTACTAAGGAGCTGGTGCTATTGGAAGATTCATTTAGGAGCTATAGATTACACTGCTTAGGGACGCCAAGGCCTTGCTTGTCTGTTTAAGTTGAGCGACACATAGAAGGAGATGGAGGGAAGGTACCTTTGTTCTTTTTAATCCTTTTGAAAGGATATTTTCCGGTATTTCCTGCATAAACTGACAGCGCAAATACTGACTATAGGGGGGTTAGGTGGTGTTTTTAAGGTTCGTACCCCTGAGGTTCTCCTTGAATTCACTGTTTTATCCTTATTTTTAGACTGCTCCTTTTAGACTGTACCAAAAATAAAATTAACTTCCTAATGCAGATTCATCTTCAACAAAGTTTCTTAATGTAGACCATTTATGACACAATTTATCATCCACCCAACCACAAGTAATTGTCAGTATCACTGTTGCTT